ATGTGTCAGAGCCCCTGGAATTGGAGTTACAGACAGTTGTTAGCTGCCGTGTGGGTGCTGGGATTCGAACCCGGGTCTTCTTCAAGAGCAGTCAGTGTTCTTAACCCCTGAGCCATCTCTCCAGCTCCCAGAACTGGAATTATGAACAATTGTTAGCTGTCATGTGGGTGCTGGGAACTGAACCCAGTTCTTCTGAAAGAGCAACCAGTGCTTTTAACTGCTGAGTTCTCTCTCTAGCCCCTGAGTCATTTACTTGATTGCTGATTGATGTAGAAGGGCCCAGCTCACTGTGAGAGGGGTCAGCCCTAGGCAGGTGGACCTAAACTGTATAAGAAAGCTAGCTGAACGTAAGCCTTGAAGCAAGCCAGTAAACCACGTAGAAGGGCCCAGCTCACTGTGAGAGGGGTCAGCCCTAGGCAGGTGGACCTAAACTGTATAAGAAAGCTAGCTGAACGTAAGCCTTGAAAGCAAGCCAGTAAACCGCATTCCTCCAAGTTTCCTCCCTCCACTCCCTTCTTAAGCTCCTGCCCTGACTTCTCTGTGATGGATTGTGACCTATAAGCCAAATAAATAAACCCTTTCCTCTCAAATTGCATCCAGTCGTGGTGTTTATCACCGTGACAGAAACCAAACTACAACACATCTCTTTTTACTGCCCCCAATGCCCACACCTGATCAGAGCCTGCTGCCATTAATCTCTAAAGCACCCCTACATCTTTTTGCAGTGGGAATCACCCTCCACTCCCATCACTCCAAGGTGAGAATCACCTCTACTCTTCATCTCTCCATGATCGGAATCATCCGCCAAAGTGGGTATCACCCAGGAGAGAAGCAAGCCCTAGGTTAAGGGAAAGCCAGGCCAGCATCCTGCCACTGAAGGCACCCTACACCACAAACCTCAGCTTCTGCAGTGATGGCTGGACAGCCCCTCTGAACAAAGCAGGCAATATCAGAATGGTAAGGGTTAAACAGTGTCTCCCTCAAATCCATAAGTCAGAGCCTTACCACACAGTGAGGCTATTTAGAG